GCAAAGGAGTTCTGGCTTGAGCGAGCTCTGTTTTTGCCTTCTGCTGGCTCTAGCCAAGAAAAGCTAGTTCTAGCCACCAACTTATTTTCAGCATGTTTTCAAAAGATGTTTTCAGTACATATCTTAACTCCCATCTCTTTATGGGCATTCTTAGGCATGATTTATGAGCCGTTAAAGATTAATAAGCTAAGAAACAACATAAGTAAGTGAATTAGAAATATGTGTTGAATCTGAGTATATGGGCAATATGAATAAGTTATGTAGCATGGAATGAATGGGAAATTAAAGTGAGAAAGCTAAGCCATGTATGGCCACATGAATGAGTAATAATGAGACATGTTTTGTGCTATGTACATTTATGTTTGTAGGTCAAGACTCAAAGACTGACCAACCGTTTCTGGAAGCCCACTGTGAGTAACATTTCTGTAAAGAAGATATGTTGATATGAATTATATTCCAAACGAGTTATGACGTGTTATGATTTCTGAAATGATATTGTTTACGTGAACGAATGTCCCATGTTTGGAATCTATTATGGCATCCATAAATAGTCTCAAGTCATGGGGGACGACATGTAAATGCGGGTCCATGACATAAATGTGAATATGAGATCTCGTTAGCCACTTCATTATGGTGATATGTGTTTAATCGATATCCGGAACCGATTACTCTAGTCGGAAGACGATATGTAATATGTTCTATGAGATGTACCGTTATGTTATGTTCTGATATGAGACTGATATGAATGATTGTATTATGATTTGTTTTACGGATATGATATATTTAGAATTCGTTCACTAACCCTTTTACTTTAATGTTATTCACTGGGCTCTAGCTCACTGTTTTTATATATATATTTATAGGTGAGCGTTCTGGAGGGCAAGTGTAGGAGGGTTTTTACCGAGCCACTGTTTTGAAGCCTACCAAGTGTTTTGGGAGCCTCCGAGTTGGGGCTAGGACTGGAAGGCCGTTAGCAAGCTTTCGGTTATGTTATACATTTTTGACCCGTACATATGTTTTTGTATAAGATATTACGTTATATGTCATGTAATGTAAGTGGGTAAATTAACACTTTTGCATGTGATTATTTGTTCATATGGATGCACAACTCATTGGACTATTAGTATATGTTTGAATATTGCTTCCGCAAGCCCCAATTATTTTGATTATATAGGAAGGCTTTTGGTAATCTCGGATTACTGGCCGGTTACAATGCTAAACCTGTAGGGGCGGGTTTGGGTCGTGACAAGGCCTAAGACAAAAAAGCAAGACTGACTGGTGCAAAAAAATGTGAATGTCCTTTTTTATTGAAGGCAAAAAATTAGTCACAAATGACGACTGGATCTTGATAGTTGTTTGTGGTGTGCATAATTATCCTGCTGCAAAATATCTTGAGGGTCATTCTTATGTTGAAAGGTTGTCACATAAGGAAACCTCTTTGTTGCAAATGCTTCCACAATGAAGACAATTTACAGTGCACGTCATAGGTATAAAGTTGTTGAGAAAGTTGGGAGATCTCAAATGCAACAACTATTAGGTCAGTAAGCAATGAACAAGTACATTGAGGGGCATAGGAGCTGTACAGATACTGAGACAGTGACTGATTTGTTCTTTGTACATCCTACGAGTTTGAATTTGTTACGTGCATTTCCAAAAGTGTTGTTGATGGATTGTACTTATAAGACCAATCGATATCGGTTGCCCCTTCTAGAGATTGTAGATGTGACATCGACAGACATGACCTTTTCAGTTGCATTTGCATACCTCCAATATGAGAAGGAGAATAACTGTACATGGGCACTTGGTCTTTTGCGTAGTGTCATGGATGAAAATACACTTCCTTCTGTTATTGTCACAGATAGAGAATTGGCTCTTATGAATGCCATATGTACGGTGTTTCCTGCAACTACAAATTTGTTGTGTAGATGGCATATTGGAAAAAATGTTCTTACTAAGTGCAAAAAGATGTTTGAGGCAAAGGATAAATAGGAAATGTTTATAATAAGTTAAAATATGTTGGTTATGTCATCGTCTGAAGAAGTATACATGCAACGACTGTTTTTGTTATATAGTGAGTTCAGTACTTATCAAGATGCACTTCATTATGTTACCTCATCTTGGTTGGATACATACAAGTCGAAATTTGTGGCTGCTTGGACTGACATATTTATGCACTTTGGAAATTGTACAACAAATAGGTAAATACGAACATTTAAATTTATTAGTTGTTTGGTTTTTGACAACATTATTTTTATAACAGTTTATTTTCATATATAGGGTTGAGAGTTCACATGCAAAACTTAAAAGATATCTTGGATCAAGTCAAGGAAATTTTGAGTCGAATTGGACAAGGATACACAATTTACTTGAGTTGCAACATAGTGAAATAAAATCATCATTTGAGAAAAGCAAGATTGTTGTGCAACATGATTTCAAACCTGCACAGTGTAAGGAGCTTCATGGTAATGTCTCAATTACTGCATTAGATATCATATTGGCATAGTCTAAATGAGCATCTTATGTTGGTATTGATATTACTACATGTGGATGTATTGTTCGACGTACTCATGGTTTGCCATGTGCATATGAGATAGCAAATTACATGAGGGGAAATTAGCCAATTCCCCTCACTTCGGTTTATTCATATTGGACTAAGCTTGATATGTTGAGTACCCCACACACTGTAAGTGAAGAGTGGACTTGTACACCTAAGTTAGAATTATTTGCCAAAGGATTCGAGGAGGTGGATCTAGATGTGAAGAGGTTTTTGTTACAAAAATTAAGGGAGTTAGCCAAACCTAATTGTACATTTTTGATTGAGCCAGAAGTGAAGTCTAATCCACGGGGTCGGCCAAAATTGAAGATTGAGACCTCCACTCATCATGAGCCATCTACGTTTGAAATAGTTGCTTCAACACAAGACAGTTATTCACCCGGAGTCATTGCCAAGGCGAGTGTAACAACAAAAAAGGTGAAAACAAAGAAGAAAGAAAAGGTACATGGTTTACTAGTGAGGTATGTAATTGTGTCATGTTGTCTACTTTATTGTCTACCATTGACATTGGCTTGTGATAGGTTCACCGGCTTCGATCATTGAATCCAAATTGCTTTTTAGAGGCATTCCCTTCTGAATTGAGACGATATATTAAATACGTTAAGGATGTTGCAGCAGATGGCAATTGTGGGTTCCGAGCTATTGCTGGTTTGATGGGTTTTGGAGAAAAAGGATGGTTACAAGTGAGAAAAAATTTACTTAAAGAGTTGCATGCGCATAGTGACCACAAAAGGAAATTATTTGGATCACAAGAGATAATCGATGACCTTACCAACATCTTGGCATACTTTGAACCAAACCCTAGGTTGGACCGATGGATGACGATGCCTGACATGGGTCATCTTATATCGTCTTTCTACCAAGTCATTTTGGTTCACTTGTCTATGCAACAATGTTTGGCATTCCTCCCTCTTAGGTCAATACCGACGTTTGTTGCCTCTCACAAGGAGATATGTATTGGCTTTGTCAACAACAACCATTTTGTTCAAGTATTGGTTTCTAATATTTTTGTACATTCTAATATTTTTGTGCATTCTTGTACATTATAACGACAAATTTCTTAATAACGACATCATTTTTGTACATTCTAATATTTTTTTATTTATTTTTTTTGTAGCTCATTTTGGAGCCTGGTCATCCTATTCCACCCATAGCAACTAACTAGCGGAGTACAATTCCAGAGTGCAACATTTCAAATCACTCATCAATCTAGACGTAGCCACAATCGAAACAGTATACCTGGATGAAGACTAATTTCATACGAGTGAGCTAGGAAATATAATTACAATGGATTTCAGTTATGTAATTTTCTTTATTAAACTAACTTAGAATGGAAAAGAGTGAATTGGAATAGATTTAAGTTGTGTATTTTGAATGGGTTTAATTCATGTTATTTTCTTTGTTCTAATGAATTGGAATGGTAAACAGTGAATTGAAATGAATGTTATTTTCTGTGTTATACTGAATTGAAGTTGATGAAAAAAGTGAACTGGAATGGATTCAAGTTACACAGTGATGAACAAATTTTGTTTGGACATACAGTGCTGACAGAATCATTTTTCTTCGACAAAACAGTTCTGAACAAAATATATTTTTTCGGCTACACAGTGGTGAACAAATTGTTTTTATTCGGTTCAACAATGCTGAAATGAGTAGGCCAGCAACTGTGAAAGGGATAGCAAGCATTTATGTTCGGCACTACAGTACTAAAAAAACCATATATGTTTCGACATTACAGTGCTAAACGAAGACTGCATGTTCGACATTACAGTGTTGAGTGAGTTAGTTTGATTCGGTTTTACAGTGCTAAACGAGGAGGATTTGTTCGGTTAATCAGTGATGAACAGAAAATTCATGTTTATTCATTAGTCCAGATTTGTTTATTTAGTGCTAACCTTAAAGCAATAAGCTTACCAATATTTCAAACAAACAAACTATCAAACCAATTCAAACCATCAAACTAATTCCAAACCATCAAACCAATTCAAACAATCAAACTAATTCCAAACCATCAAACCAATTCTAAACCATCAAACTAATTCCAAACAAATCAAACCAATTCTAAACCATCAAAATAATTCATTGAGTGCCCAAAAAGGTATGGTAAAGTCATATACAAGCCTAGCTCATACTTGTGTCATATACAAACCACCATCAAAATGTATGCCAAAAATTTTTCACAGACAAACTAACATATACTAAAGTGTTATCTGACCTTTGTTATACTTGTGTCTAACACCATCAAATAGTCTAACATATGTTTGAGACTAAGATATCAAAATACACATTTAAAACATTTGAACCCAAGAAACACTAAAGTCTAAGACGTTGCTCCATGCTTCATGCGACGAGTGTACACCAAGTTCTCTGATTGTGTATGTTCTTCAGTGAACTGTTGACCCTCCAAGACTTGTGTTATCTTCTTCATAGCATTGCGTAACATATCTCAGGTGGGAGCTGTTTCATTGTATCCAATTTCAAGCATTGAACGTGAAATGCTTAAGACACTGTCAATGCGCTGCAAACAATAAAATAAAACTTAACAATTGCCTTAAACAAAATATATATGAAAATGAAAATAGTAAAAATTGACATACGAATTGAAGTTGACGATAATCAATTGATGTCTCAGTGCGTGGGTTATACTTAGAACGATGTGTCGGGTTTTGAACTTGCACGTGTGAAATGGAAATAAACCAGTCCAAGTAACCTGGCACACAATCCCATCGATGCAAGACTAGAACACTACAGGCTATCTAAAACTTAACAATTGCCTTAAACAAAATATATATGAAAATGAAAATAGTAAAAATTGACATATGAATTGAAGTTGACAATAATCAGTTGATGTCTCAGTGCGTGGGTTATACTTAGAACGATGTGTCGGGTTTTGAACTTGCACGTATGAAATGGAAGTAAACCAGTCCAAGTAACCTGGCACACAATCCCATGGATGCAAGACTAGAACACTACAGGCTATCTCAAACAACAAGTGATTTTCCCAACTCTCCCTAATCGTATCCAAGTATTTATAGGCAATGATGTACTGTTTTGCAGTGGATTCTCCAGAGGCCCGAACTAGAGCAAGCAGAGGTGAGGGAATAATTTGCACCCTACTAAACTGTCTCAGTACCCTATCTGGATGGTATGGTTCAACAATGTGCATACATTTTAAACATCCACTATAATAAGCAACATCAGAAAAAGGATGCTCAATACGCTTATCATGGTATGGATCCCAAATAACCTACAATAGTAAAAATTTTATATGTAAGTTATGAATTAAATTGAATAATAGCAAGTAATATGTACATACATTGACATAAGATTGACACTTACGTCATGGGCTTCTAATCTGTCGAGGTCCTCTCGCAACCTTTGTAAAATAGACGTTGACGAACTAGATTGGGTGCGAGAAATCCAACGAAAGACACGAGGCTGATCTTCTTTATAGTCCAAATTGGGGTGGGGTCTAGCACCAACAAGATGCTCGTAAATCCAACCTTCCAACAATGTCATGTATCCCGCCATCTGTTTTACGGCATACCTTGTGGCAGTACCCAATTGCCGGTATAAAAATGCCAATGCGGCTGCACTCCAAGCATAAGAAGCAACCGATCGCAAATCCATAAGAAAAGGCAAATACACTACCGGAACACGTATGGCTGTCTTGTCTGCAAATAAGGTACAACCTAACAAATATGCCCTAGCTGCACACTCAATGGTATTATCATTGTCCACATCAGTCGCTGACCCAAACCGTTGTCTCAACCATTCTACCTTGATAGACTGGCCCCGTGCTACCTTCAACGCTACATTTGCCTCATCTATTGTTACTCCCAAAGCCTCAACTAGCAGATTTGCAACGTCAACATTTGATAACTTCTTGCAAGAGACTGATTTACCAATCATTGGAATCCCTAAAATTACACTAACATCATCTAAGGTTGGTGACATCTCACCAAATGGTAGATGAGACGTGTTTGTCTCTGTCTACCATCTTTCTACAAAGGCCGAAACTACAACTTTGTTTACAAATTTATAGGAGCAACTCACTAAAGAAAGCAACCCCAAATCCATAATTAAACCATGAAATTTGGACTGTTCATTATCTTCCAAGTTGAATGACCATTCTCCAACTTTAAAACCATGATTTAAGCATTTAAGTATTCCACATTCCTGCAACATAGAATTAAAATAAAAAATAAAAAATTAAAAAAGAATTAGTAAAGTTGAAACAAAATTTAAAACATTAAATTAATGTAAGACAATGACTTACATCATTATGCCAAATTTTGGCTGCTACGTGACAATGAAAACTCTTTAAAATTGAAGGATCATATGGCCCTCCAGGAAAAGGTCCAGTAAGATCTTCATTAACTTTTTCAGTTGTATCTACTGTTTGGTCTTCATAGTCACCCATGTTTGTTGGTTCATCACTCGGATCATCACCTATGTGTGTTGGTTCATCACCCATATCTATTGGTTCATCACCCAAATCATCACCGATGTCACTCATATTCAATTGATTGCCCCCATCGTTCTCAACCTCAACCGTTTTTGCTAGAGCAGCACCTATGTCATTCATGTCATGTTCATGAACTCCACTACCTTGATCCTTAGTCTTACGAGTGCATCGAGGTCTCTTAGCCACTTTTTGAGAAAGTACAACATGACGTCTCCTAGACGCTGTTGGGCGATAGCAGTTTCCACCATAGTTGTCCACCAACTACAATTAGATGTGTCATTGAAGCCTATCTTAAATAGGTGTTTCATGACCAATTCAAATAGGAAACAACAAACTAGGACAGTTTCTTACCAAACACAAAATGAATAAACGATAAAAAGAAATTACTAAAAATAAGATATTTGAGTTGGACCAAAATTTGAGAATTGTAATGCATTAGAAGCATGCCAAGAGCAAGGCCATCAAAAACAAAAAAAAATCCTAAATAAAATTATAGACAAGAACAAAGCTTTCCAAAAAAAGTGCAAAAATTTGAGAGCCTAAACAATGGAATTTGGCATTAAAAACAAAAGGCTTAGTACACAGCAAAAGCTGTGTGTTTTGCTTCGTAGGACATTTCGGATTGATTATTAGTACTTAAAGAAAATTCAACATTGGCCCAAAGCCTATAGTTGCAATATAATCACATGCATCTCCAAGTTGATATAATGTGCTAAAATTAGCACTGTTTTCAAACAGCCCACCTACCTCTTGTTAGGTTTATGATGTGTATTGTGCTAATTAAAGCTAGTTTATGTGGAAGACAACTAGTACAAGTGTTGTGTGATTATGTGGCTATAAGTTGATGCATGAAAATACATGGAAAAGAAGCTAAAAATGTGAATTAAATAATCTGGCTGGTTGCTGCCCTGAATTAAAATTCAGATGTAATAGAAGTCTAAATTTTCATTTTCTTACTTCTTACCCACCAAACAAATATAAACTTGGAATTTATAGGGTACAATATTACATAAAAAAGAACATAACTTTTTTGGCTCAAATAGGGTACAATATTACAAAGTCAAGTGCCATTTTCTTTGTTGACAATTTTATATTTGTCATTTACAACAAACAATGTATAACAAAAACTAACCTAACCTCACTACTAGTTAATGTTTAAGTAATAAAAGTAACACAAAACAAAACAAAACAAAATAATTATGAAATGAAAGTACTTCAAAACAGAGGCAAAACCAATGACAATGGCAATGCCTTACAACAACAGAAAAGGGACAATTTTATACTATATGTACAGTAAAGACATAAAAAACACTCCAAGATAAAGGACCAGCCAAACATATTTTCTAAAAGACAAAGGGTTCTAATATTTTTAAAAAAATTTATTTCTAGTTGGTATGTAGACTTCTATTACATTATAATATTCAAGCCATCCATTAGATTATAATATTCAGACCTCTATTCCCAAAAACAAAAAATTGAATTTTATGTGGAATCAGCCCATCCATTACATTATAATATTCTCCCACAATTAGGGTTTTGTGTGGTTGTGGTTTTGGTTGGTAAAGGGTTTTTTGTTTGTGTGGTTATGATTAATTGAAGAGAAAAGATAAATAAATTATAGCTTTGTGTTGAAGAGAAAAGATAAATAAAGATGAAAAAGTTTACAACAGTAAATCGTACCTTTGTGTTGAATTTTCGAATAATTGAAGCAGCACTTGATTAACAAATTCCAAAAGTGTTAATATGGAATCAAGCAGCACTTTCGGAATGTCCCAAGCACTTCAGCAGCAAAATGGATTCAATCGGTGTGGAGAAGATGACTACAGTAGATCGACGGTCAAAGAATGAGAGGTATGAAAAATTAGGTGGGTGTGCATTTGATTGTGAAAATATTATGAATATGGGTAGATTTGGTATTAAGTGGGATGTCCAAAAAAATATTATTAAAATTTAGGGTTTAGGGTTGGGGTCCAAAGAATTTTGACAGATGCTAATAGCAGCACTCTTTCATATATATAGATTTCTTATTATTTTTATACTAAATATATTTATTTGAAACAATTTACAATACAAGAGTTGTTATGCCCTCCATATCATAAGGTATTCACTTCCAACAACATGTTTCTGGAGTTACTACATTGACAAACAACACTAATAATTTAAATGATAAGAACCTAGGTAATAATATTTTCTAATTTTGATTCTTTTATATCTACTACTTTCATAATAAATGCTAATAATTATATTGTTTATATTTTTCATGAAAATCATATGATGCAATAGTCATGCCTCCCATATCTGAGGAAGAAGGTAATAAATATTATTTATATTAATTTTATAATCATGATTTATTTGACAATATTCTTATAACTTTATAAAAGTAATGATTTTATATTAATTATTTTATTCATGTAAACCCAAATAAAAGAATTATTTTGTTCCCGATATCTGAGGGTATTCAAATACATGAGGATATTTCAGAAGTCACAAGGGTGGTAAATAATGATATTGTCTTGTAAAAAGGTAAACACTAACATATATATAGATTTTGTAATTATGATTTTTAAAATTATAATTCCCAATACTTATATTGTTTATTTTTTCATCCAATTAGATGACGCAAACAACAATATTGTCACAGAAGAAGAAGGTAATAATTATTATTTATATTAATTTTAGAATTATGATTTATTTGATGATATTATCATAACTTCCAATAATAAATGATTTGACATTAAATATTTTATTCATGTAAATTCAAATAAAGAAATTGTTGTGTTCCCGGCATTTGAAGGTGTTCACATACATGAAAATGTTTCGAAAGTTATAAAGGTTGTGAATAATAATATTGTCTTACCAGAAGGTAAACCCTAATATATATAGATATTAATATTTTTTAATTATAATTTTTAAAATTAATAATTGATATTCACGAACCTTTAAATTAAATATTAATTTATAAATTAATTATTTCTCAATTAAATTTTAGATAATGGAATAGTCGTGCCCCCATATCTGAGAACATTTAGTTGCATGGAAATGTATCGGAAATCACAATGACAACAAATATTAATATTATCCACCACAAGGTATGAATAAACTATTTTGTTATTCATTTTTACGTATTATTTGTACATGACTCATAGTTTTATAATTATCTCATTATAATATATAGATGCATATACAAATATTGATATTGATAAATTATCTTTTCTCAACTTCTAGGTTCATGTCTCGCTACATGCAAATACAGTAAATTATATACTAATCATTCATTCCGTTATACAAATCATATTCGAATGTGGTATGTTATGATTATATAATATTAATCAATTACATATGACAATATAATTCTCACAATTATATATATATATATGTACATCTATTGATGTCTATCTAGACTTGCTATGAATTTTATATCACAAAAGTTGGTATCTTGGAATCGAAAAATGGATTCTCAATTTCATAGTCATTAGTAATATCAAATGCAAAAGAATTCGAATACATGATTTTACACCTATGCTAAAGGTAAGAAATGTTATCATCCCAAGTAATGAAAATTAAACGATATATAGATATATTCGTTTATAGAGGGAGATTAATTTATGTTTTTCTAAATATTTTATAGGTTTCATATTTTTGAATACTTGGGTCCATCGAACAAATTGATGTTGACAACCTTTAGATTGATTTGTGCAGAAGTTGCTATCAAAAAATTATATATCATTATAGTCACATCATTTATCGTCACTACATGCATGATGATATTGGTATTATAACGATGTAATTTTCTTTAGGTAAATAATTTCTATGTACAATACTAATTCAAGCTTAACAAATGCTTCAATTTTTTATTAAACACAATATTTTCTTTTAACAAGTGTTTTTATTTATTTATTTATTTTATTAGATAAGATGTTAACATTGTGATCAAAGATAATACTGGTTCAATAAATCTCATTATTCAAGATAAACAAACAGAGTTATCTTGCAATATCAACTATCATATTTGAAGAATATAAGATCAAAGGTAGGAAACTATACAATTTATTATAAATAACTTATTCATACCTTTTCAAACACAATGTTATAATTTCAAAATTTTACAGGATAATAGAGTTAGATTGATTAAAGATTATATTGCGTCATGCCAAGATCGCGCCTATGCATTTATCATACATATACCAGCAATGCAACGTCAACTATTGTGCACCATATGTGACATTTGTTTTAACTATAGATTGGTCTGAAAAATATCTATACCTTTTAGAAGGTAAAGTATATATATAATATGTAAGTATAATATTTTTACTTTATAACATTTTATAAATACATAATATATGTGTTGTTCATCAATTATAATACTAACTATCATGTTAACAATACAAGAATGCTGATAGAAGACGCACAACAATTTAGATTTTAGTTATAATATATTTTATTTATTCAGTAAATTTTGAACAAATATAATAAATTCTTATTTGTATTACTTTAATTAAGAAATGTCAATATTTTTCTTTTAAAATTACATATATTTTATACTAATAATTTAAAAATATGTTTGACATAATTATAAATAATTTTTTTAAATTCAATCGCGTACATAGGACACGGATGATACGGTAGTTATTATAAAATTGGAAAGAACAGTGGAAACACAAGAAATTATTTAATAATCTCGAAATATCACATGACTATATTCTATTGCAATCACCAATTACTTAAGTCCATGTTGTTCTCTCTTCCTAACATAAGTCGTGAATTTCTATACTTCTCTATCAATTAAAATTTTATAAAATATTAAGTGTCTATATTCTAAAAATACTGAATAATCACCTGTGGAAACAGATGCTCCAATTCCCTCGAATTGAAACTCCACTTACCCTCGATTCCCGGGAGTCAATATCAAGGGATTTGAATTCACAAAAGACTCTCTCCCACCCAAACCTATCGAAGTCTAAGACCATCTCCAACAGTTCAGCAAATCTGGCATCAGATTTGAAATTTGGTGAAAAAGACACTTTTTGGAGCTCCAACGGTTTCACCAAACTGGTATCAAAATGAGAATTGAACAAAAAAATCATCAAACTGATAACAGAATACAGGTTTCACCAAATTAC